AGTGTCGGTGTACTGTAAATAACAGGAAATAGGTCAGTGTCGGTGTACTGTAAATAACAGGAAATAGGTCAGTGTCGGTGTTCGGTAAATAACAAGAAGTAGGTCAGTGCATGAAAAAAAAACAGTATAGTTCAGCGTCATCGGTGTACGGAAAAGAAATATTTCTGGAAAACTCCATCGATATTTCTTATGAAAGAAAAATACGATAAATACTTTTTCTTAATAGCTAGTTTATTTTTCTGTCAAAACAAATGGCTGTTGTTAGGGGCATCCATTTTAGCTAATAATAAATGGCTGTTGTTAGGGGCATCCTTTTTAGCTAAGAATAAATGACTGTTGTTAGGGGCATATTTTTTTAGCTAATAATAAATTGCTTTTGTTAGGGTCATCCTTTTTAGCTAATAATAAATGGCTGTTAGGGGCATCCTTTTTAGCTAATAATAAATGGCTGTTAGGGGCATCCTTTTTAGCTAAGAATAAATGGCTGTTGTTAGGGGTCATCCTTTTTAGCTAATAATAAATGGCTGTTAGGGGCATCCTATTTAGCTAAGAATAAATGACTGTTGTTTGGGGCATATTTTTTAGCTAAGAATAAATGGCTGTTAGGGGCATCCTTTTTAGCTAATAATAAATGGCTGTTAGGGGCATCCTTTTTAGCTAAGAATAAATGGCTATTGTTAGGGGCATCCTTTTTAGCTAAGAATAAATGGCTGTTAGGTGCATTGATTTTAGCTAAGAATAAATGGCTATTGTTAGGGGCATCCTTTTTAGCTAAGAATAAACGGCTGTTAGGGGCATCTTTTTAGCTAAGAATAAATGACTGTTGTTAGGGGCATCCTTTTTAGCTAAGAATAAATGACTGTTGTTAGGGGCATCCTTTTTAGCTAAGAATAAATGACTGTTAGGGGCATCCTTTTAGCTAAGAATAAATGACTGTTAGGGTGATCCTTTTTAGCTAAGAATAAATGGCTGTTGTTAGGGGTCATCCTTTTTAGGTAATAATAAATGGCTGTTAGGGGCATCTTTTTAGCTAAGAATAAATGGCTGTTGTTAGGGGTCATCCTTTTTAGCTAATAATAAATGGCTGTTAGGGGCATCTTTTTAGCTAAGAATAAATGGCTATTGTTAGGGGTCATCCTTTTTAGCTAAGAATAAACGGCTGTTAGGGGCATCTTTTTAGCTAAGAATAAATGACTGTTGTTTGGGTCATCCTTTTTAGCTAAGAATAAATGACTGTTGTTAGGGGCATCCTTTTTAGCTAAGAATAAATGACTGTTAGGGGCATCCTTTTAGCTAAGAATAAATGACTGTTAGGGTGATCCTTTTTAGCTAAGAATAAATGACTGTTGTTAGGGGCATCTTTTTTAGCTAAGAATAAATGACTGTTGTTAGGGGCATCCTTTTTAGCTAAGAATAAATGACTGTTGTTAGGGGCATCCTTTTTAGCTGAAAATAAATGACTGTTAGGGGCATCTTTTTAGCTAAGAAAAAATGACTGTTGTTAGGGGCATCCTTTTTAGCTAAGAATAAATGACTGTTGTTAGGGGCATCCTTTTTAGCTAAGAATAAATGACTGTTAGGGGCATCTTTTTAGCTAAGAATAAATGACTGTTAGGGGCATCTTTTTAGCTAAGAATAAATGACTGTTGTTAGGGGCATCCTTTTTAGCTAAGAATAAATGACTGTTAGGGGCATCTATTTTAGCTAAGAATAAATGACTGTTGTTAGGGGCATCCTTTTTAGCTAAGAATAAATGACTGTTGTTAGGGTCATCCTTTTTAGCTAAGAATAAATGACTGTTGTTAGGGGCATCCTTTTTAGCTAATAATAAATGGTATAAATAGTAAGAAAAATTAATAAGATATGCGTAACCCGCAATGAATCACCATTATATACAGGTCAACAAAAGATTGAAAGAAATAACCTGCGAAGTTAATATTTGTACTTAGAATCATTTTATTATGTTCATCTGAAACTTATTCTATGGCAGTTCCACGATTTCTATCTACATGTCAGAATGTCATTTATTGGACAGCTCGTGCCAGGACAATGACTTAATACATCTGATTGAGCTGACAGCGAAACAGTTTATGAGATTTAAACAATCTTCTTAGAGCTTGATCGTTGCGTTATTGTTGTTCTGATATGTGTGTGAATGTTGGATACATTTGGTAACATGTTGTATTCGTGTTGTTCTGATAGTTAGATAGGTGTGTGAATGTTGGATAAGTTTGGTAACATGTTGTATTCTTGTTGTTCTGATAGTTAGATAGGTGTGTGAATGTTGGATACTTTTGGGAACATGCTGTATCTTGTTGTTCTGATAGCTAGATAGGTGTGTGAATGTTGGATAAGTTTTAAAACATGTTGTATTCTTGCTGATCTTCCCTTTTCCACCTGGAAAGATACTAAATATGCTATAGATATTATGAGATACTATATAGTTATTGATCACTTCTAAATGTTATTGATTGCATAATAGTTGGTCCCAAACAACAACTCCAGGTCCTATTTGTGTTTATCAACTTGACTGACTTCGATGAAATTCTTCCCCAGAAGTCCGCATGGCAGCTCTTGTTGTGGTCGGATGTTGGCGGTACAGCAAACGGAAACTGACGTCAAGGCTTCTGATTGGTGGCGCTGTCGTCATGCTCTCTGCCATGTTTGTACTTCTCTTGTCCAAAGTCCATATACGAAGTAAATTTATTTATTTCTTTTCTCCTTTTATTTTGTTTGTTCTGTATGTCGAGGAATTTAATCTGCAGTCATTTAAGGAATTCGTTTCTTTGTGAAATATGTTTCTGTTTGTAGATTGAAAAACAAATTAAAAATACTTTAGATGTCTTCTGAAAACGTAGAGCATGATAATCCAAAAAAATGGCTTTAGCCTCTCACTTTGATTTGTCGTCCACCATGGCAAAGATATTTGATTTTTTGACTACCAAGTCAAGCATATTTGATTATTTAACCACCTGGTCAAATATATTTGATTTGTTGCCAACCAGGTCAAATATATTTGCGCTAAAGAATCGTTCCATTTTGTAAAGCAATGGTACTGAATCATAATGGCATCCTTGTTGTCAACAAATTGTTGCATGACATCATTGTTGTCTAATTGTTGCATGATTTCTTGTTGTCAACAAATTGTTGCATGACATCATTGTTGTCAAAAATTGTTGCATGACATCATTGTTGTCAACAAATTGTTGCATGACATCATTGTTGTCTAAAAATTGTTGCATGACATCATCCTTGTCAACAAATTGTTGCATGAGATCATTGTTGTCAACAAATTGTTGCATGACATCATTGTTGTCAACAAATTGTTGCATGACATCATTGTTGCCAACAAATTGTTGCATGACATCATTGTTGTCAACAAATTGTTGCATGATTTCTTGTTGTCAACAAATTGTTGCATGACATCATTGTTGTCAAAAATTGTTGCATGACATCATTGTTGTCAACAAATTGTTGCATGACTTCATTGTTGTCAACAAATTGTTGCATGAGATCATTGTTGTCAACAAATTGTTGCATGACTTCATTGTTGTCAACAAATTGTTGCATGACATCATTGTTGTCAACAAATTGTTGCATGAGATCATTGTTGTCAACAAATTGTTGTATGACTTCATTGTTGTCAACAAATTGTTGCATTACATCATTGTTTTCAACAAATCGTTGCATGTTAGGAGTTGGTATTTCCACAACTTACTTTATCAATGTTCTTCTTACAGCGCAGTCAAAGTCATACAAAGATCATATCGGACCAGAATTCATACATGTAAGTATTTTTAATGGGTAAGAGTAATTTTGTTTACATATGAAGTTTTTGAGAGTTGGATGTCTCTTTCAATAACTCTGTAATCTGCTAGTTTTAAAAAATAATAACTTTTGTTGGTTTTCTTTATTAAATCGACCAAATCAGAGGTATAAATCCTAGGGAGAACCATGGGACACATCGCCACTTAAACATGGACACAACCCCACCTAAACATGGACACAACCCCACCTAAACATGGACATATCCCCTACTAAACATGGACATATCCCCTACTAAACATAGACATATCCCCTATTAACCATGGACATATCCCCTATTAAACATGGACATATCCCCTACTAAACATGGACATATCCCCTACTAACCATGGACATATACCCTACTAAACATGGACATATCCCCTACTAAACATGGACATATCCTCTACTAAACATGGACATATCCTCTACTAAACATGGACATATCCCCTACTAAACATGGACATATCCCCTACTAACCATGGACATATCCCCTACTAACCATGGACATATCCCCTACTAAACATGGACATATCCCCTACTAAACATGGACATATCCCCTACTAACCATGGACATATCCCCTACTAACCATGGACATATCCCCTACTAAACATGGACATATCCCCTACTAAACATGGACATATCCCCTACTAAACATGGACATATCCCCTACTAAACATGAACATATCCCCTACTAACCATGGACATATCCCCTACTAAACATGGACATATCCCCTACTAAACATGGACATATCCCCTACTAAACATGGACATATCCCCTACTAAACATGGACATATCCCCTACTAAACATGGACATATCCCTACTAACCATGGACATATCCCCTACTAAACATGGACATATCCCCTACTAAACATGGACATATCCCCTACTAGACATGGACATCTTCCCAACTAAACATGGACAGGCCCCAACACAGGCATCAAGATGAGACCAGTGTATCTGACATCTCCCTATATTATGTCACTCCACAGTTCCAGAACGTCGCCCACCCTTCCAATGCCGAAAGTGGCGTCAACAGCACCTACCACGACATCGACAAATTACGAGAGGACCAACTCTCACGGGTCCAGCACCTCCGCGGGCAGTGCGACACCGCCAGTGACAAGATGGCAGGCCTGTCCAGCGAGGCCTGGGCCTATGGCCGAATTGAAATCAGCAAACAAAATCATTACATGTACTGCCCGCTCCTTAAGGTCGGCTCCACGTTCTTCAGGCGTGTGTTTTACGCCATGCGGGAGAAGAGACGCCTATCCAACCCGTACATCGTGCCCATCAACCAGGCGCTCGCTGCCAAGCGGACGGTTCTTGAACAAATTTTGCCACTAGACTCAGCGGACACGGCAGCTTTTTTAAACAGTTCGACGTCCATCATGTTCGTAAGAGAACCGTTCTCGAGGATACTGTCTGGATACGTGGACAAGCTCTTTGCACCCAATCCATATTTCTGGTCCCAGATCGGGAGGCATATTATTTCTAAATTTAGGCGTGACGCCAAACGATCGGAGATATTGTGCGGCCATGACGTGACGTTCACTGAGTTTATCGATTATTTGATAGACGGCGAGCTTACGAATGATTCGCACCGTGACGCGCACTTCACACCCACGTACGACCAGTGCAAGCCGTGCCAGCTGAACTACAGCGTCATAGGAAAGATGGAGACCTTCCAGCCTGATGTGGCGTACACCCTGCACCAGCTCGGGTACAACGTCAGTAAAGAAAAGCTAGGACAGTGGGCGCGGGACGCGACCCACGATGCTATCCTAGACTCGACCGTCAGTCCGTTCGGTTGGAAGTTCACGATCAAGAAATGCATGTCGTGGCACGAGAGCTTAAAAAGAATGTGGAGAAAGATTCAAATCCGGGGGATAATTTCAATGGAGGAAAATTTTCCCTGGTCCCCGGATTACAGTGAAAAGTTCGTGTCGGTTCGAATGTTCACGGAGCGCGTTAAAAAACTAAACGCGGCGGCGGATAAGCTGAAACTGAAGAAACAAAAAATATCAGTTTTAACCGAAGCATTCAGCAATATCAAAGTTGAAAAGTTATTGAAGCTGGTGGAGATTTTTAAACCAGATTTTCAGCTTTTCCAATATGACATGCATCCGAATTTTATATTTGACGAAGAATTCATACAGCCGTACAGACAAAAACATATGATATTTAATGTGAACACGATTTGAGCACATGGATATTTGACAAAGTTTCAAATAAAAACACAAGTTAATTGACTGTTCCCGCGGTTTAGCTAATTAGCACACCTTTTATGATGAAACTGGGCCCTTCGGCAAGTTTACTAAGAAAGGACCCATTGGCAAAGCATGTGTCACATAAACGGCCCAAATTGACGGGGGAAAAGAGGAAGGGGGGCGGGGTCATGTTGATGTAACATGCTAAAATTCTAAAATGTAAAAGTTTCAGCATTATCTGCCATAACCATTCTATCCAATCATGGTGGACGTTCGGATAGAAGCAGGGCTGTTCTTCAGGCCTATACCACTGGGCTGATGGTGTTGGCTCTTCTGCTGTTTCATTCCCGCACACTACAGCTTATGTTGGCTTGCTGCTGTAATGCCATGACCTCATGATAAACACATTACTCTGGGTGAGCTAGATTTTGTGACGCCTGGGGCAGTCCTTGATTTGACCACCACACACTCACGTAAACATACATTTGTGTTCACTATGCACCAAACGTCAACAGTTAGTGATTGTAAGTTGTCGTTTACCAAAAATGCCGCCCACACACCCCTTTAAAGAAATAAAATAATGAGTACCACTTAGTACGGACCGTCCACTCCACCACTGTCTCCCCATCCATTCCACCCTAGTCTCCCAATCTATTCCACCATGTCTCCCCATTCACTCCACCCCTGTCTCCCCATCCATTCCATCTAGTGTGACACTTGCATCAAATCTAGTTAACATTGTAACACTTACTTCCAATCTAATGCAGACTGTGACTCTTACTTCCAATCTAGTCCACATTGTGACACTCACTTCCAATCTAGTCCACATAGTGACACTTACTTCCATGAAAGTTCACATTGTGACACTTACTTCCAATCAAGTCCACATTGTGACACTTACTTAAAATCTAGTCCACATTATGACACTTACTTCCAATCAAGTCCACATTGTGACACTTACTTCCGATCAAGTCCACATTGTGACACTTACTTCCAATCAAGTCCACATTGTGACACTTACTTAAAATCTAGTCCACATTGTGACACTTACTTCTTATCAATTCAGCATTGTGACGCTTACTTCCAATCTAGTCAACATTGTGACACTTACTTCTATTCTAGTCACCCCATCCACTCGATCCAGTGTAACACTTGCATCCAATCTAGTAAACATTGTGACACTTACTTACAATCTTGTCCACTTTGTGTCACGTACTTCCAATTTAGTCCACATTGTGACACTTACTTCCAATCTAGTCACATTGTGACACTTACTTCCAATCTAGTCCACATTGTGACACTTACTTCAAATCTTGTCCACTTTGTGTCATGTACTTCCAATTTAGTCCACATTGTGACACTGACTTCCAATCTAGTCCACATTGTGACACTGACTTCCAATCTAGTCCACATTGTGACACTTACTTCCATGAAAGTTCACATTGTGAAAATTACTTCCGATCTAGTCCACATTGTGACACTTACTTCCAATCTAGTCCACATTGTGACACTTACTTCCAATCTAGTCCACATTGTTACACTCACTTCCGATCTAGTCCACATTGCGACACTTACTTCCATGAAAGTCCACATTGTGACACTTACTTAATATCTAGTCCACATTGTGACACTGACTTCCAATCTAGTCCACATTGTGACACTTACTTCCAATCTTGTCCACTTTGTGTCACGTACTTCCAATTTAGTCCACATTGTGACACTTACTTCCAATCTAGTCACATTGTGACACTTCCTTTCAATCTAGTCTACATTGTGACACTTACTTCAAATCTTGTCCACTTTGTGTCACGTACTTCCAATTTAGTCCACATTCTGACACTTACTTCCAATCTAGTCCATATTGTGACACTTACTTCCAATCTATTCCACATTGTGACACTGACTTCCAATCTAGTCCACATTGTGACACTTACTTCCGATCTAGTCCACATTGTGACACTTACTTCCATGAAAGTCCACATTGTGACACTTACTTAATATCTAGTCCACATTGTGACACTGACTTCCGATCTAGTCCACATTGTGACACTTACTTCCAATCTTGTCCACTTTGTGTCACGCACTTCCAATTTAGTCCACATTGTGACACTTACTTCCAATCTAGTCACATTGTGACACTTCCTTTCAATCTAGTCCACATTGTGACACTTACTTCAAATCTTGTCCACTTTGTGTCACGTACTTCCAATTTAGTCCACATTCTGACACTTACTTCCAATCTAGTCCATATTGTGACACTTACTTCCAATCTAGTCCACATTGTGACACTGACCTCCAATCTAGTCCACATTGTGACACTTACTTCCATGAAAGTTTACATTGTGACACTTACTTCCAATCTAGTCCACTTTGTGACACTTACTTACAATCTAGTCCACATTGTGACACTGACTTCCAATCTAGTCCACATTGTGACACTTACTTCCATGAAAGTTCACATTGTGACACTTACTTCCAATCTAGTCCACATTGTGTCACTTACTTCCAATCTAGTCCACATTGTGACACTTACTTCCAATCTAGTCCACATTGTATCACTTACTTCCAATCTAGTCCACATTGTGACACTTACTTCCATCTAGTCCACATTGTGACACTTACTTCCAATCTAGTCCACATTGTGTCACTTCCTATCAATCTCTTCCACATTGTGACACTGACTTCCAATCTAGTCCACATTGTGACACTGACTTCCAATCTAGTCCACATTGTGACATTGACTTCCAATCTAGTCCACATTGTGACACTGACTTCCAATCTAGTCCACATTGTGTCACCTACTTCCATGAAAGTTCACATTGAACATTTTGCAGAGACGCGCTACCAGATAACGGCTGAGGTTTGGGGTGGGTATGGTGGGGGGCTACAGTTGTGACATGAAGGAAGTAAACGTTGTGACTATATGGGCAGATATCCTCCTGGGAGGATAAGCTTTGTCAATGAGCTTAGCTTGCGGCTTTTTGATTGTTCGTATTCTGCGCCATTCCTACCTCGAGCAAAAAATAGCATGGATGCAAGCGCTATATAAGTAGTCAATTAAATTCATAACAAGACATGTTCTTTTGCATCATAGTCTGGTGCATCATGGACAGACTGATATATCAGAAAGAGAAATGAGAGATAGAGAGAGAGAGAGAGGGGGTGGGGGGAAAGACAGGTATATCATAGAGAGAAATCAGAGAGGGATAGGAAAGACTGCTTTAAGAGTGAGAAATTAAAGAGCGAGAGGACAGATTGGTGTATGAAAGATATTAATCAGAGAGGGGGAGGACAGACTGGTATATCAGAGAAAGAAATCAGAGAGGAAACGATTGTTTCGTATCATCGAGAGAATGATATAATCATCGAGAGAATAGCATAATCATCGAGAGAATGGTATAATCATCGGACAGAGGAATTTTTTTTTGTCATAGGCGTGTTTGGGTTTTCAAAGAGTCTGATTAAGTCATATTTGAAAAAGCTTGACATGGCTTTAGAACAGTTGTTCTCAACCTGTGGGTTGCGACCCCTTTGGGGGTCGCCTAAGATCATCGAAAAACACACTTTTGTGATATAGCAACGAAAATAATTTTATGGGTGGGGGTCATCACAACATGATGAACTGTATAAAAGAGTCGCAGCATTGTGAAGGTTGAGAATCACTCCTCTAAAACTTTTTTCTTTTTAAATGAGCTTTTTTTATTTTTAGTGGTGGAATGTACGGGGGTGGGGCTGAGCCTGAAAAGTAACCAATGGCCGTCGGCGAATAATTTGCTCTGAATCTGGATGGAAGGTTTGGGTAATATTAAAAATACAAATCAGTGACGCTTTTGTTTCTACATTAAACTTGACAAACCTTACATGACGTCATACTAAGTCCTCGCAGTCGATAATATTTTCTTTCCTATGAAGATGCCATTCTTGTCCACTTCCGTTTTTCAATACTTAATATAATTATATTTAAATTTTGATGAGTAAGATATTTTTGTCCCTTTTCATAACAGTATTTGAGAGTTTCTTTCTGTAAATACATGGATTCTTTTGTCACCAAGGTCTTATAATATAACTAACTACTGTTACCAAATAATGTGTTATTGTATTCAGCCATGTTATATTTATTTTAAAAAAAAAAAAATACTCATTGAATTTGACAGATTGTTTGCTGCATCCATTTTGTAGACGTCATTAGCACGCACGTGGGGCTAATGTATTATTTCAACTCTTGATAGGACAAAGAACAATGCAAAGAGCTTGAATTCTTACTTTGTTGGTTAACGATAAATATTCAACAAAAGAAAAAAAAATGTGCCTCTTCTAAAATGCACTGCCTAACCTAAAATTGCCCTGCCCACAGTTGCCCACCTCCTATTAAAAAAAACAACAAGACAACAAAAAAACAACACAAATCCCAAATACACCTACTTCTCCCAGAAGTATGCCACCACCCCCCAACCCCATTCTCAACCTGTGTGGCGTATAACCCCACGTGGGGACACGCTGACCTATTTCCCTGGAGTCCCTTACACGGTGGGTGTGGGTGTGTGTAAGGTGGGTGGGGAGGGCGAACATCCAAGTGTTTTCGCCTTGACTCCAAACTTCAAATTCCAGATTTCCTATATTTTTAGGGCATTGTTTTTCGTTTGTTTGTTTTTATTTTATCTGATCGATAAAAATATCAGTATTGAACTTAAACCAATCAGGTGCTTGCAAGCTGGAGACATTTTGTCTTTGTTTATTTGTGGTATATTTATTGGTGAAAAAGTGACGTTATTGAAATTTTACGTGCTCAGTATTAAATTACTAATACCGTAATGGAAGGTATTATTTTTTTTTTAAATTTCATGTTGGTCAGTGAACAATAGTTTTAAGTGTTGTTTAATGATTAATAGTATTAAGTGGTTTTCAAAGAATGATAGTTG